TTCACCTCTAGTTTTGATAACTTTTAACTATTTATGAATCACTTTGTAATGATCCAAATCTATGAAGATAAATCCGTACAAAGCTTTTCAGTAGGTGACGACTCAATCGGATATGAAACTGTTTTCAGTCATGAGTTGATAATCCCTTCATTGAGTACAAAACTTTGTATGATTTAAAATGCAAGAATAATCGAAATAACCGCTGACGAAATCATGCTTAGATTGTCATCTATTTATTCATATGCTCAATGAGAACCATTCTCAATTATTGGTAGAACACCACTAAAAGTCTCTTCGATTACAGTAAAATGGAGGGTAACTTGAATGGGATGCAATTTCAATATTGACATCATTCAGTTGAAATAAATAAAATAAATAGATTAGTATACGATCTAAAGTTGTAAAGTTCTCTCAGATTTATAGAAAACGAACACGGTTTTTCATTGTAAATCAAACTGATTTACTAGTGATATAAAATCTTCTGATTGCAATGATTTTTTGCCTATAGATATGACATAGTGTTCTTATAATAACCCTAAAGGGATTTGGGTTCCTATTCGGATTAAGCTAAACTATCAAATTTTTAATATATCTATTTTCTAGAAGCTCCCAAATTTCTCAACTAAACTAGCATCCATAGAAAATTCAAAAGTTTTGAACAAAATCTCTTCGAAATATTAGACTTTCAAATTATAGATCCTTTTCCATGCTTAATTTATACAACATGCATTTATTGAAAGCTTCATTTCTCGAAGAGGCTTCATTCAAAACTTCTTAATTTCATTATGAACGTTAGTCTAGTTAAGTTCTCTATATATGCATAATCTCAGATCAAAATTCGATAGCAAAGTCAAATCTCAATAGGAGCCTAAATCCATTTAGGACTTTTATTAGAACACTGTATAATATCTATAGGTAAAAGTCATTGAAATCGGATGGGAACCGTTGAAGAAGCCTTCTCGTGAGTCACTAGCCTGGAATTTTTCACATAATTCTAAATGCAATTAAGCATTGTAATAGAACACTTGCATTCCAGTCATGCCTGTTAGGAAAGTCAGGTGAAAAAAAATCTTTGATGTGTCCCATGTATCTATAGTTCTTGAACATTTTTACATATATATATATATTAGACATATTGAATATTTTTGATTTAAAAAACTTTTTTTTTTCTTATAAGATTGAATGTATTGATATGAACACTGATTCAACATCAACATCAACGTCTAATCCATTTTCTACCCGCATCAATAATTTCTATATTGGAACTACTGATGGGTAAGTTATTTTTGTTGATTTATTCAACCTATACGATTGATGACTTGATTAAACATTATTACAATTCGTTTGCATTTTGTTCTACCCGATACCAATGAATAATATTCAATTGCATTTTGGAGGTCATAACGATCACATTTTCTTCTCGATTCTATATCCATGCAATGCTTCGTAATATAAACATCAGAACATAGAATGATTACACTTGTGTTGTCATTTCATTTCTTTTTTTTCTTTTTCTTTTTCTTTCTTAAATTTCATATTTATTTCATCGTATAAACGATGAACAAACAAACTCTAAAAATGAATGATTTGTCCCTGAAAACTTACGATAACATAGACTAATTTGTATTATTAACCACTCATTGCTCTATATTACAGAAACAACAAAAAGAAAAGTTTTTCCCTGCAGTGAGATATCCAACTGAACGTGTTGTACTCAACCACATGTTGTGCGTCGCTTCTTCTTCTTCCTTTTATGAAGATAAATTATAGATATGTCGAAACGTGATGGTACCATTCTAATCGCAATGCATATCAGGTTCTCTTCTCTTTCTATTTGACTATGGTCAATAGGCGATGAAACATGTAAAAAGAGAATATAGGATCAAGAGTCAAACATCTAGATGGACAAGTGAAAATCGATATCTCATACAAGAAAAAAAAACAGAATGGCATATTATATCTATTTCATCGTCATTAAGTTCTTTTTTCATTTGTCTTTTTTTTTTATCATTTATACATTAGTATGTCTGTACATAAATATATTCGCACAAATTATGTATTGAAGAATACCTTCGAGAGCGATGACATTTTCAAAAGAAACAAAGAAAATATGTTTAGATTTTATTTGATTATTTGACTAGCAAATAGAAAAAGATGTCGGAGAAACTTTGAAAGAAAAAGATCAGAGTAAAACAAATTGAACTATGTCATACGATTGCCTGATACGTTTTTATTTTATTTTATTCTTTTCTTATTTGTTAATCATACTGTCATGCAAGATTTATTTCATCTAAAGAACTTTGATCATAGTCTTTCTTTTTCTTTTCTTCATATTGTTGTATTCGTTAGTCACTTGAAAGTTTATCAGTGATTGAAAGTGTTTATTACTTACAATGAATACGTGATTATCATATAAAATATACATATTGATTGTCTATAAAAACGAGTAATACTTGACATTTTAATAGGCATTATTGACAAGAACAGGAAACGATCCATGACAAGCAAATAGATCAAAAGATAGTCACTCATAAAATGTGTCATCAAGAGAAATAAATATCCATTTATTTTATTAAAAAAAAAAAAAAGGAATTTTCATAGAATGAATTATTGATTATATTTCAAAGAGAAAAAAAAAGAATGATAGTAATCAATTAATTAAGTTAGTATGAATCTTTCTTTTTTTGTGACGAATGATGTTTTTTGTTAAATAGATTTTATTTCATGTTGTGATACAACGGATTTCCTCCCGCCTATTTTTTTTACACCGAACAAAGAGTAGTCGTCGCCGCTAGTCATTCATTCATTCATTCATTCATCATAATCACTAGTTAGTACAGCGTAAATTCTCTCATATAATCATAGTGAACATAGGAGTGGACATTTTTTTGTCTTCCTTCTCACTTATGCTTGAACAGAACACAGAGCGAAAAAGAGAGAAAGAAAAAGAAGAAAAAAATGTTCTATCATATTTCTGCCTCGCCATTCTTCATCATCATTGTCTCGTCTCGTTTCTCTTTCGATATGTTGTGCACTCTACAACGATAGCAATGTAAATTAGAACTCATCTTCCTGTGTAGATATACATATTCATTTCATCATTGTCTATATTCAATTAAATATTATTGTTTTACTTACATGATTATAAATCAAATTTTAAATATTTCCTATCAACTAATCGTCATATTGACGATAATAAAATATATTATTTCTGAGATACATCAAGATGATCAATTACCTAATCAATTATTTAATATTCTTGGTTCATTACAACCATTTCGTTCACAATTTTGTCAATTTAAATTTGAAAATTGCATACAAGATTCATCTTATGCTGATCAACTTGATAATGATTGTAATATCTATTCACGTTTACGTGATTGTTTTCGTTCATTACTTGATGAAACACAATGTTTAACAATACAACTTAAACGTCAATATAAACAAGCAAAACAAAATGAATATGAATCATGTGGTATAACATTATCATTAGAATCAATTAATTCATCAATTAATACATCATTATCATTTAAAATAAATATTAATTATCTAACAGTATTTTTTCTATGTATTATATCTATTTCATTATCATTTATTTAAAAAAAAGAAAACAAACAATATCAATTGACAACATCCGGTGAATTTTCTATTCAATTGAATTTCTCTTATGGAATATTACATCAATATCTATCAACGTCAGACGTTCGCTATTCTCATTGCTGTATCAATTGAACACATATATATATGTCGAGTATACATATAGATTATGAACACGTTCAATACTTTTAAATGATATTTGCCTAGTGCTCTATGATCAAGATAAATAATCGATGCTAGCCAAGTGGTAATTGAACTCAATATACGTGTGTGTGCGAGTGTGTGTTCATTTCTTGAACGTAGAAAAAAAAAAAGAACTTATGTCAATAAACTTTCAATCATTCATACGAAAAAGAAAGCCTTAGCACACAGTTCGATTAACTGATTACGCAGCTTAAATTATAGTTCCCTGTAGGGTACTGATGTCTCGTTCCGTCTTACTGTTATTGTTTGTATAATGAGCAAAATATGATTAATTGTCTGTATGATTTAGTCTTGTATAAAATAGGCGTTGTTATACACATATATTTAAGCTAAAAGCATATTTGCTGTCTGATGTGATATCATTGATAAGAAAATAAGGATATTAAAGACACCTGTTCTATTGATAAATTAATTGAAAAAAAAATGACTAGTTTCATCAATCGATCATTCATTCATTGTTATATTTATATAGATATTTAACCTTTTGTATGAATGACATTTTAATAATACACATTTCTTCGTGTTATCGATTTAACTTAATGGATGTATGTGATAGTCTAATTTTAAGAGAATTAATCAATGAAATGACACTATGACACCCTTTGTTTTATACATATATATATCCGTATACGTTTTGTCCGAGAACGAACAAATAATTCAGAGGTAAATGACAAGTATAATCAAATCGATTAGACTTTTTATTTTTAAACAAAAAAAAAAAGAAATATATTTATACTCAATGATCTGTTATAATATGAGACTTGTACAATTTTGAATATTAAATTTTTTTGAATAGTACAAGAACAAACTGTTCAATACGTGATGAAACTAATTTTGTATTACTATTTTGTCGACAAGTGATTAATGAAATGAATGAGCTAGTATTTTGTTAGTAAACTGGTTGTTTTTTCTTCTTTTAAGAACAATGCTGAAAATGAGTACATTCGTAGCGAATTTTAGCTTTTTTTTTGTAAGAAATTTTATAGATGTCATTTACAACATATTTTTTACATAACTTAAAACAAATCCGTCTTTCTATATGGGCTAAATTTATAGAATATCATTCTTTCTTATTAAGCAAATATCAATCCGATTTCATGTTGGAATATAAATGAAATGTTTGTTGATATTATTCTTTGTAAATGTAATAACCTTCTATTTGTAGTTTTGTTCATAAATTTTCTATACAAAAAAACTCAATGAGTTCTGAAACAAAAGACTTTGAATGTCATTGTACTGACAGTATTAACCTTGGAACAGTAAGATAATTAGTTTTTTTTTTATTCTAATACTTATTTCGATTATTTAGCGAAAACCAATAGGAAAAATCAAAGTCGTGATATTATCTCTTCGTCGTATTATTACATTAAGTGATAATACTATTCAGGTACTTAATAGTGATAATTTACAGGTAAAAAATTTTAGTTTTATTTTGAAGTTTTTTTGTAAAAGTTATTTTTGCTAGTTTATATCAAATATAAAATTAAAAAATATTATAACATTTGCTGTTTCAAATAAATTCACACAAGGAGCATCTATTGATGTATGGAAACGACATATATATATATACATATAGTAACGTATTTGATTTTATATAAATATATAGATGTGTGTGTCAACAAAACGTAATAAATTACAAATCTATCGACTTGATCGAACAAATATTAATTTAATACATGAAATATCTATACAAGATCCATTGATATCAATTGTATATTTTATGTTAATTGAAAATTTTCAAAAAAAAAACAAGCTTAGTTTCTTTTAGGGAATGGATGAATGTGGTATTTTAGCATGTTCAAAAACAACTTATTTTACTTATAGACCTACAATGAATAATGATCGTCGATCGACGGGTTCGTTACAGACTATATTTACGTCACATGATCCAAGTATAATAGCTTGTTTTACGAATATTAAACCGGTAAGTATTTTTTTTTCCAACTTTTTAACTTTGAAATGATCTAGGACAAAAAGAATCAGACTCACGTGTGAAATACATCGAATTTCATGTCCATATAGATAGTGAAAAAATGATTGTCACCGATGAACATGGATCTAGTCCTTGATAAAAGCAGCTGTTTCCCTTATTGAAGTGCTCCTGTTCTTGATGCTATTGATTTGATATTTTGGGTACATGTGTATCATTTCGTCTTTGTTCAAGTGAATAGCGTTTGCTCGATGATTTTACATAGGTCAAAGAATAAAAATTTGTTTAAATATGTTTGAATTTAATTAACCATTTGTAATTGTTTACGAATTCGATTAAATCCATTTTAAAATATATCGAGTTAATTCATATTAGGAAAGAAATATTGATTTGATTTTCCACGATAAAAACTTATTGACTAGATTGTAATTTGAAGTTACATCCAACTGAATTCAAAAAGACGAATTCAGATATCTTATTGAAAATGACTAAAATCATTATAGAAGTATTATTTGATCTTATTTCAATATCAAACAGTTATCTTTTTAAAGGGTGAATATCTTCTTAATGGTCCTAATATTGGTATTACAACCACTTTAGAAGGTACAAGTCAACGTACTCCAATGATGTTTATTAGTCAACCAAATGATTTTATCTATTCACAACCATATCTACTTGTACTTGTTAAAGATTATATTCATATTTATAGGTATTCGTTTTTTCTTTGATTAAAGAACCAGAGAAAAACCAATGATCTAATTATTTTTTTTTTAGTTATTTGGATGATCAATTAAAACAAGAAATACCGTTAAAAAATTGTCAAACTTTAATAAATATTTCTGAAGAGAATAGAAACAATATTCTAACGAATACTAGAGATAGTATTTATTTACTTGAATCCCTTAGCATAAAAGAACAAATAGATCAATTACTAAATACATATCGATTACAAGAAGCATTAACATTAGCTGAAAATACTTGTCCATCTATTGAAAAACATTCTACAGATCTGCTTATATTATCAACTAAAAAACGTATTGGTCTGATTGAATTCAATGCTATGAATGTTATTCGAGCATTATATTTATTCGATGATATTAATTTAGATTTTCATGAAATTATGTTACAAATACCAAATTTTTTACCACTATACTCTCCTTGGCCAGATTTAGATGAAAATACTAAAAGTCAATATATTCTATGGTTAAATGCATTTTGTGATTATATGACAAAACGATCAGAAGAATTTTCTTGTCAATCAGTAAGTAAAACAAAACACTGGATCTAGGAAAGTTGTACACGGATACTTACTTGCTGGAACAGTTATTCAAGCGAACAATTAATAACGAATAGAGATGGGCAGGACTAGACTGGAACCCGAACCACGAGAAAAACATTGTTTTAAAAGTAACTAAAGACTATAGGTAAATATTCTGTAGTTTTATGAAAATTATTCTATAAATTATATCAATCAGAACGTGATTCTAGAGAGATTACCTAAAAAGTGCCACTCGTCGAATAAATGCATAAAAAAAAAACAAGTGTTGAAGAAGTTTCTGAGATGTAATACGAATAAATTTTGAAATGATTTTCTCGAATCCGAAACCAGAATTCGAAAAACTTGATCCTACACATCTCTTCTTGCGAAGTATAAATTAGAAAGGGATATGTAACTCAAAAAAATAAGAAGGATTACTACTGGTATCATAACAGATTAAAGATAAAACAGGATCTGTATGTGATGGTGCTTGCGTGTATCTCTTCAGCGCCCACATATTCCTGAACATCTTTAATTAAAGTTATGAGGTTGAGAAATATTAGAACGATCAAACAAATCAATTTATAATGATGACAATGATCATTTTTCACTAAAGATCAATTATTATCTCATTTTACTTCCTTAATCTTATTCGAAATTCTTGTAAAAGTTTTTATAGCAAGCAAGTGTCCGCTACCTTCTCCTTATCCCGCTTATAAAACAATATGTTTTACAAATATATTTTTATTTTTTATCTTTTTTAAAGGATTATTACCCATCATTATTAAAAGCTTATTTAATTATAAAATCACGCGAAACAATTATAGAATTTCTTGAAAAATATGCATCATATATTTCAATCGATTTTTATCACTTACTTTTTCATATTAAACTTTATCATGGTGCAGCAATACTTTATTCTGCACATGATAAACATGAACAAACAATTGATATTTGGAAAAAGTAATGAATTCTCTTGTTTTTTTTCTTATTTTTAATATCTTAAAATTTTCTTTCCTTCTTCTTTTTTTTACATTTAGCGTAGAATTGTATTGAATGAGTATTCTAATGATGATACATTTCCTGGTATTTGGATTATTGCTCAATATATTCTTGAAAGAAATCTTGATCGATCATTCGAATTTTCTGTTGCAAAATGGCTATTAGAACAAAATGAAGAAGAACTTGCAATAAAAGTTTGAGAGAAAATGATTTGTTAATATTGAATAAAATAGCCAAATATTAATTTTTAGATATTTATTACTAAATATCAAAATGAATCAAATCATGATCCATTTAATTCAAATAAAGTTACTAATTTATTAAAATCATATCCAATAGCATTAAGAAATTATCTTGAAGAGGCTGTATTTAAATTAATGATTGAAGTGAGTTGATGATAATTAATTTTAAGAACTTATTAAATTCTTTTGATATTATTATTCATATTGTTGCTATTGTAAAATGAATAAATAATATTTTTAAGATTTTACAAGAATAGAATATGATTATATTTTGACTTTGTCTCTCATTAGTCTTTGAAGTTTTACAGAAAAAAGTTTAGTACTTATACTAATAATCAATGAAGAGGCTGAGGATAAAGATAAAGCATGGATAACGCTACTTTTGCCCATCATTAATAAGCACTAACACTTATTTACTTTGACTGAGTTCAGATAGGATTCGAAAGTAGATTCATTAACGAAAAATAAGTCTCGAGATTCGTATCAATCAAATAAATTTGCGGAACACTTTACTGATGAAATAAAGAATAGTTCGAATATACTTGAAGACGATCCATAAAGGCTATCCCAGAACAGAGAAAAGAGAAGGCCCAGGCAGTCAAAGCAACAGTAGAGGTTTTAGTCTTGAAGACTTATGTCGTCTGCTGTTTCTTCTCTCAGGTCAGATGCATTTAGACGTTCGGTACTTATTACGATTCCTTTGCCGGTTTTAAGTATATTTCGCGGTATTTCCAAGTAAAATCGGTTTTCAGCAATGTTTTCCAAAAGAACAAATTCTCACAATTCTATGATGTACCGTGTATGTCAGTTGTTTAATATAAAAACGAAACAGTATATTAGAGCAAACAGGCTCTTTGTAGAAAAATTTTGGAAACTGGTCGTCCAAAGAGAGAGGGGTCAGTCCAAATTAGATAAGGAGAAGAAGGATTAATGAATGTGATTTGTGCCTGATCCTCTTTTATGAATGCCTCCCTTTCTTTTCTCGTCAGATTTAAAAATTTTTCCAATTTTTTTCATAAAAATGACATGAGGAAATTTCCATTCGAAATTTTATCTATTTTAAACAAAATAATAACTCCATAAGAGTTAGCCCCACATATTGTGAAGAACAGTAGAAAAAATATGAATTCAAAACTTGGCGAAATTTTCGTGTTCGTAAATATAAACATTGCAAAATCATATTGTAAATAGGATAGCAACTAGGTTTTCTTCGATGTTTCGATATAATCAAAATAATAAATCTACACATGATTTTAGACTGATGAAATTCATACAATGTTAGTGAATATTTATCTCGATGAAGTTTTGTCCGAAACTTCTGATGATAATGAACAAACTCGGTTCGATTCTAACTCTTTTGCTTTTCTATAAAATTTATTCTTCATAATTATAGAATTAAATTACAAAAGTTTCTTGTTAAATCAAATTCCTATCGCATTCAAGCCGTTCTTAATCGAATCAATCAAACAAAACAATTTAAACGTGAACTTGCTCTTCTTTATGGCAAAGTATATCATTAAAGATTTTTGTTTTATTTTAATATATATATCTTTCTAGCTGAATGATTTTGAACAAGCATTTCAAATACTTGTTAATGAACTTGAAGATTATCAATATGCCGAAAATTATTGTGTTGCTTTATCACATGATAAGTCAAATGATGATCGAAAAATTGTTGCTCATGCTTTATTCAATGTATTTCTTGCTTCATTAGACAAGTAATTTTATAATTTATAGAAAAAGAATTCTTTTTTTAAAACTTTTGTTTCATTTAGACATCCAAATGAAATAACCGAAGCAGTTCATCATCTCCTTTGTAATAATGAAATTGAATTTGATTTTATTGAAATTCTAAAACGTTTGCCATCTCAATGGTCCATTTTATCATTAAAAGACATTCTTTTACGTGCTATGCGTACATATTCTTATATAGAACGTTCAACAAAACTCAAAATAGCTTTAAATCGTATACAAAATGAAAAGCTAAATATAAAGTTAACGAAACTGAAATGCTCAAATGTAATTATAAATGAATATCGACGATGTAAACATTGTTTACAACAATTTTATGAAACATCATGTATTGTTTATCAAGACGGTAGTCAAGTTCATGTTCATTGTGCAAAGCAGTTGAATTGAGAATAACGAAAAACTTTTTGTCTGATGATTATTTGATTTTTTATTTTTTTATAATAATCATTGTTTTTGTTGATTTGTTTTTCGACTGATAGATTTATTTATATTTAATTCAATAAAAATCAAGAAAAAATCTATGATTTAAATAATCATTTTCTTACCAGGATTCATACAAAAAATTGAGATGATCTGTTAGTGAACAATTATACAAACTATCAGTTATATAAGAATTGATCTGATGAGGGAACTTCCGCAGGTGTCAAATAGCTTTTCGATCGAGACGATATTCATTTCATGTGCATTAGTAAGCAATGACTAAATCTAGAATGGTTTTGATTCGAGTCATCGTTCTTGACATATGGGTGTGAGTATGGATGTATATATGAGTAGTCTGTGGATACGCATGTGAATATGAGAGTCAATTTCACACTCTCAGTCTCACATGCAAATCCACACTCTCTATTGAATGATAATGAAAATGATACAAGTGAACTCACTTCTCTCGAAAGGAGAAGTATCAATTCCAGCAAGTATGTGGTAGCCATTTTTGTCGATTATCGAGCTTGCCAAAGCAAAAGAGAATTAAAGATTTTTCTTCTTATCAAAATTATCGATGTAATTAAGAATTCCACTTTAACTTTTCTAATGATACCCATACTATAGCGAACGTAAATGAAGAAAAAGTTAGTTGTTTATCATCGTTTATGACTCGATATTGACTAATACGAGGCTGCGAATTTATTTTGAGGTAAATAATTTTGCTACGAGAAAGCATTTCATAGACGGCTGAAGTCTGTTGCGCCAATAAGCGTCTAGTTGGTTGCGTGTGAATCAGTCGCAACCTATAAAATCGAATGTTTAATAATGGAAGAAATTTACACAGAAAAAAAAAGATTGAAAAGAAAATGCATCGATCAAACAACAGATCCAGTTTTTCCATCTTGTACTTTCAAAAATTATTCTTTCGTTGTTTCGTTTTGGTCATCACAGTTATTTACTATATCATCAGTTATCCACTCTAATCATATACAAAATCCTGAAGCAGTGTAGTATAAAGTGTGTGGGTATGGGTGTAGGTCTTGCTCTTGTATTCATTGATAGCAACACATACACACAACTACTGACATCCACACTTACACCGATCCCACGATTAGCCGTCCTTATCGTGCAATGACTCTTAGGGTTCAAGCCATTGGATTCGACTTATCAGAGCAGGAGATAAAATCTAGATCATGATAGGCCAGTCTCATGCCCTTAAAGTTATCTCTTGCTCATTAGAATCTAGAAATTTCGTGTTCTAGACATGTGACACATGAGAACATTCAAACGATATTTAAATAGACAAAGATTAAAAAGTAAGTGAAATATGTTGATATATCAGTCGTATTGTTCTAGCTTATTTAACTTAATTAGTCCAAAGTTGATGATCCATGAATGTCATATTTCTTTCCCTCATACTGAATGATGGTTGTCGTCTATCACTTTCAAATACCAAAATTTCGTTAATACCTTGTTTTAAAATGTGTGCTGGTACATACATTGTTCGTTGTGGACCCTTTTCGCTATAGCGACCTAGATTAAACCCATTGATAATTATAAAACCATATCCCCAATTATCGGTACAAAGAAACGAATGCAACGGCTTTGACATGTCGATTGTAAATGTACTTCGATAGAATGATGGTGATATTATCGAAGTTCCTGGCGGTATGGTTTGCCAATTAAATGTAGTCGATTGTTGACTTAACTGATCATCCATTGGTAATTTGGTTATTGTCCAGTTGCCTAATTGTTTTAAGCCTAGCCAAGGTTTATCTTTCATGCCCTTAAAGCTACACCCTAAATCTGGTATTTCACCACAACAGCGTCCTTTGTTTTCAACCAAAATATCTAACCGTGGGTTTGGATTCATTTTTATAGGATGTAAATTAATTAATGCTATCGGATCTGTTTCAGTCCATCCAATAACACCTTGCACTAATTCATCTAATAAGACAACAGCGCGATCCTGCATCCATGGTAATAACAAAGGCTCAGGTAGACCAGTAAAATCTTTTAATTGTGTCGAATAGAGTATATAGCCGTAACTTTGATTAAGATATTCAAATTGAATCGGTACATCGATATTGTGAAGGACATTGAAAGGATGAAGATTTTCAATTAATTGAGCACGAGAATTAAACTGCATTGTTCCGTACAAACCTTTGGGTGATGGCGATGGTGTTGGCATTGGTGGTAGTGGAACATATTTTGCAATTACATCACGCACGGCTTTAAATTTAGTTTGATGTGCATCACCACATTCTATAATCATGGCGTCATAATCGTAAGATGTTATTATTGAATGGTATGCTAGTGCTCGATCGCCACCATTAGTAAATTGGAAATTTGTTCCACCAAATACCATGTAAAAATTAACCGATCCGTTATATGAGAATATTTTATCGACACCTTCAGCAAATTGTTCACTATCTATTGTATGATGAGATTGCCCTTCATAATCGATCCATCCTGGATAGTATTCCATAACCATGAATGGATTATGATCTGGTGCATGTTTTCGTAATAGAGCTAATGCATCTGGTGTTGAATGTTGTATTTGATATTCCAATGCTGTCCATGCGTTTGGTATGACAGCTTTTCTTAGTGATATGACATTTGGTGAAGCAAGCGTACTTATCAAACTTTGAATTCCTCGCTTTATTAATCCATCACGTAAATATCCATAATACGAATGCGTATCATCAAAGCTAATTAATGGTACATCGGAATCATCTTCTACTTGAAAATCAATAATACTTCCACCTAAATGATATTGCAATGGAGCTAAACGTGGAATTAATTGATCAAAATAGCGATCGATTAATTGATAGTACACTTCATTCGGCCGACGTATAGCAATATGCTGCCGTTTCATAATCCAATATGGAAATCCGCCTAAATCAACTTCAGCTGTTATATATGGTCCAACACGAACAATAACTAACAAATCTAAACTTTGTGCTAATTGAATAAATGATACAAAATCATATTCTGGTTTATCGAATACAAATGTACCATCTTCTGGTTCGTGTAATGCCCACCATATGTACGTTGTTATTGTATTACAACCAAGTCTTTTTATCAGTGTCAACCGATCGTTCCAATCCTGAATAAGTATAATGTAACTTAAATTAATCTTGAAATATAATACTACATGTAGAATCCTCAATTTTGATGTAAAAGTATTATTTAGTTCCTCGACTGAAATTGTCGGTCCAAAAAATTAAACTAATGCTATTAACTAGCTTGATATGGCTGATGCCAAAAGACTATGTTAACCTCAAAGCATTGTTTTCAAATTCGAAAGTCAATTGAGCATAGATCTCATCATAGTAATAGATATTAAACCAGTCAATGTAAAACTGTGTTTCGTGATAGTGCAACCAACGCAGTTGTCAATGTCAACTAGCACAATGAAATTATTTCCCCTTCTATTTCTATCCTCTGTAAGTTTCTATAGTACAAAAACGTATAGAAATGAACCATTGAACCATTTTTGCACAAGCAGTGACAGGCTTCGAGACAACTTAATAATGTGATCTCTCAATATAGGAATATGACAATATCAACAAATTCAAGAAGAACCTACTAGGTAAAAAATAAGGTATTACATAGAATCAAAAGATACTTTGTAGTTTTTAGAGAATTTTTTAGTTCAGAGCATGGATCGGACATTAGAACCTTCTTTTTAGTTTCACATAGAACTTTGAAAGATTCTACAGAGACTACAAAATTTTCAAAAGTTTTATGTTCAGTCAAAAAAGATTCTGATTTCTTATCTGCGACCAGAACGTTTGATTTGTTAGAGGGTATACACTCTTTTCGGTATTCCTAGATGTGTAAAATTGTGTATAACATGTTCAAAATTATTGGAAATAGATGAAATACAATAGTCGAATAAACATACTTATAAATTATCGAAAAATAAAACTAACTTATAGGTTTAACGAGCAGTAAAGATCAAAATTCAAGAGACAAGCAAAACTGAATAGCGATAAGCTGATAGGGAAACAATCGGCTTTACATGTATATCTTTTTTTTTACAAAAGGCTTAAAAAATGGGACAAATGATTCTAACTGGATGAGATTCAGAGAAACATATGATCCTTATCAGTTTTGATGTTTTAAAGGTGTGCGTACTGTATGGCAAATAACTCACCATGATAAACAATTACTTGGAACCTGATACTAGTGTTGTTGATTCTGAGAAAGCAGCTTAGTATGAACTGTATATAGTATAAAAAAGATCATTTTTTCATATCAGCCTATGTACTGACAATGAGAAATGAAACTTTTATGATAAGCCCGTTTATATTAACTTACCTGTGGCAAACTACGCCAGTAATGTATACTTCCAGCTATGATTCGATATGGTTGCCCATCTTTCATAAAATCATTACCAACAATAGTAAAATTATGTGTAGTTGATTGTGTTGATGATACACTCTACAAAGCACGCAGAAGTTTGTTTTATGCCGAGATATTACATAATCATCAGCCCTTACAATTTTACAAGCATAGAATGTGAAACATATTATCAATAGACGTATCATAGTCTTGAATAGTGAATCTCAAAATAAATAAAACAAATATCAATATAAATCGGTTACACGCAAAAATGTGAACTTGGTTCAATGCATCTAAAGTCAGTCTCAGAACAGTTCCTCGTTGATTTGAAAGCCTTCGATGTTCGTATCTCACATCTGAAATATTAGAGACTTTCCAAGATTTTCATGAAGAGTTAGAGATATTGGTTTCAAATAACTCACTGTCGAGCTCTGACAAAAATACCCTATTGTTTATTGTTTCTGAAGCCTATGATTTCTCTGAAAAACTTCATTCGTTCGATGGTGAATTGGTTTCTTTGAAAAACATAGTTAATAACCTACACATACGTGTCCTTCGAATTTATGTGTATAGTTTGTCGTGTAGCACAAAGGTCGAAATTCTGAATGTTGACT